CAATTGTCTACCCTGTGAGCCAGAAACACTCTTGGACCATCACAGGGGTTTGAATAATTCAATTTGTATTTTAGGACATGTGATTCTCCTACTGGTATGAAAAGAATGCTTATGCATTTTCTCCAGAACCTAGAAATCAGTGGGAAACATTTATTATCCAGCTGCCTTTATTTGCTCTTATTTGCAGTTGTATCCTAATGAAGGCTGTTTGGGTTCATGAACCCTCGGATGTCTCAAGAAGGCCAGAAAAGTCTGTGTGTGGGAGAACAGAGCGGACCTGCTCTCCCTGTCCCCCCCCACCCCTTCTCCCCCACCCCACCTTAGGTGGTCCAGCATCTCCCTTTGAGGACAGTGTCCTGAAATACCTAACTACATGCTGTCTGTCGGCTTCTGTAGTCCACTGCCAGGGACCCAGTATGTGTTACAGGGATGGGCTGTACCATTTAAAATAAAACATCGTGATGTTTCTGTGGACGGCTGTGAACATCATCTTTGGTTTCAAGAATATATTTAAAGAGTTGGTGGACTACAGAACAGCGCTCTTACTGTCGTAAAGCTTTTCCTTCAACCAGGAACCACAAGACTCTTACACTCAAGTTGTTTCCATCAGGTGTGGGTATGAGGCCCCACCAAGGATGCCCTGGGCTGCCAGCTCCTCTAACAGGGATCCTTCGTGTTGAGCAGCACAGAGAGTCACCCTGGTGGGCTGCACAGCATGGGAACCCGGAGACAGACTACTTAGGATGGACGGTGCCCGGCAGTTCCAGATGCTGGACATGATGGGCGATGTTCCTCTAGGACAGACGGCTGGGTTTGTCCTGTCTGAACAAACTCCCTTCGTTCTGTACAGGAGACACTGGGACCCTAGGAAACTCCCTCCTGAGTCCAGGGTCAACTGGATTTTACAGTCTGAAGCCTAGATCACAACCAAATTGCATTGTTGCCCAAGGTTCAACTTTCTGACCCTGTCCCTGACTGGCCTGCTTCCGGGGACGAGAAGTCTAGTCCCCAGAGGCCAACGACACCTATATTCACTCCCTACCTCCCCCAAATCTCGGAGTTACAGAAACCACCCACTTCTAACTTAGGGGTAGAATTGCCAGGGCCCGAGTGCCTGTCATGGAGTATTTTCTGCTTGTCATGGAATATTCTAGAGTCAGCCATTCCTTCCTCAGAGATAGCATCTTGGTCTTGAGTTAAAATTTCCAGCTCTCAAACCTTAAAGATTGGTCATTATGTTTCTTCAAGGTGACGGGGAACCACTTAAAATGACGATCTTCATAGGCTGCACAGGCTGTTTAGTTTTAGGATGTGATGTATGTGGCGAGACGGTAAGCAACAGCCATAAATCCAACTGACAATAATCTGTGAATAAACTATACTGGTCATTCTCTGTAGTGGATCAGAAGGTGAATTTCATGTCATCCCTAAGACACATATACATATAGTCACACACTGTATACACGTTAATGCCTATATATTTGGGTATATGTACCTATGTGTGTGTATACATATGTGGAGTGTACGTTTAAACAGTGTGAATAGCTAAGTCCAGGTGAGTGGCTGTGAATTCTGTGGCTATAAACCTATCATTTTTATGGTAAATCACTGAAGTATTCTCTAGCAGTGATCATCGCTTTTTACATAATTTTATTATATTCTTTAAAGATAGCATTAGTATTCATTAAATAGACCCACAGGTAAAATGTGTATTGTGGGAGTATTTTTGACATCTCTGTTTATAAACTTGGCAGACGTTAAGTTAGTACTTTCATTTGAATAAACCCCCTCAACCACAACATCAAATATCATCTAGAGGTAAAGCACTGTGGTCCTCCATGCCCCACTTGTAACTTAACATCACAGCATCTCGTAAGGTAACTCTTAAATATAGGTGTGACTCTAGACCTTGACCGTGGTTTCCACACTGGTCTTTAGTTATGTCCAGGCTTTCTGTCGTTTACTCACCATTTCCCTCCATCGGTCTCCCCTGGCAACCACCTTTGGTGTCCTGAGCGCACCATTCGTAATAATCCGAAGTGACCTGCAGACGTGACTCACGCACCCTCACAGACTCTGTAGAAGGTGCCCTGAGACCCTCTGCAGTGACACAGCCGGGTCGGGCCGGCCCGCTCCACGAGGAGGGTGGATGGTCTCGTGGGGCAGCCGGCTAGGATCCCCCCACCGCCTTCTCTGCACAGCCAGGCCCGTGGCGCCCACGCGTGGCCTCTGAGTCTTGGTCTTTGAAGTGACAGAGATGACAGAGTGAAGCTCCAGACATGACGTGAGCCGGGATGGGGTCCCACGGAGATGAGGCCAGACCGAATGGGCACTGCGTCACTCGGGTCACCATCACGCACCGTCACCCTCCCTGCACTGCTGCTCCTGTCCGTCTGTAGCGGGACAGCCTCCATCTGACACATACTCCACCACCCTGTCCCCCAGGCAGGTAAGAGCAGCGTGCATCCTACAGCCACCCAGAGACCAGCACCAACATCTCCCAACAAGTTAAAACAACCAACGTTTAAATGACTCTGAAACTTTAATTACAGATACTTTTCAACATTTGAAAGTGTGGATTTGCTCTCTTTTTGCATAAAGCTGTCAAGGTGGTTCCGTTACACCAGTGTCTTTTCCTGCACCCCATCTCTTCTTTATTTCATCAAAGGTGTCTGGATCGCAGTCCCAAACCAACTCTGCACTGCATTCCAGGTTGGAAAACTCGGAGAGTGAAACAGGCTCAAAGGAGCAGAAAGCAACCGCAGTGAAGCAGCAGGAAAAGCTGAAGCTGCTATTTGTTTCTCCTAAGTTCCCCCCCGAAATGTAATAATCATGAAGAGGAAGAAAAGAAGATGGAGCTCTCACCCTGCTCCCTCTGCCAACACGCTCGCCTGAACCTCTCTGTGGTCTTAAAGTGCAATTATATGGTGAGGACGCCCAGGCCCGGGATTCGACTGGATGCAGTTCAAAACCAAAACTTCAAACAGCTCATGACTCAGGCCAGGCGGACTGGGGCCAGGCGGGGGAGGAGGGCTGTTCTCAGCCGCTCAAGTGCATCCGAGGAAGAAGTGTCTTTTCTTTTTGTAAAGAAAATCTGTAAATTGTAAGGCATCCTGGTTTGGAAAAATCAAACTCTGTAAGCGCTTCTATCCAAGACTGTGCCAGGGCTGCAGAGTCCAAAGGCCAGCGAGCCCAGCCAGCAGCAGGGGACACGGGCCGCTCCCGGGTGCCCGGCTCCAGTGCTGATGCTGCCCCGAGTCCTCAGAGAAGTCCTCAGCCCTGGGCGCCGAGGAGGCACACTGGACCAAGGGCATCTGGTAGGATGTGGCTCTCTTCTCGGGCCTGTCCGGGCTGGAGCCGTCGCTGGGCCTCTGGCCATTGAAGAGCAGGTAGCGGCCGCGGGCATCCTGCTCCATCTTGAAGATCTCGTATTCCGTGTGAGGTAGTTTGATGCCCAGTGCCACACAACCATTGGTGTGGGTCACGTCCTGCTGGACACCCACCTGCCAGGAGCCCTCGGCCCCGCACTCGTTCCCGTTGAAGACATTGAGGAGCGAGGCAGTGGCCGCGTCCATGGGGGTGACCTTCATGTGGTTCACTGCCAAGGACACAGGACAGCTCCGTGATTCAAGGATGCCGGGAGCACCAAGCCTCACAGGCTTCTGCTCTCAAACCCACCCTGCAGACCAACCCACCAGACCGTAGCCCACAGAAAAGACCCTCAGATGGAAAAGGTTCCACATCTGGACGTGACCGGTGGCCACACCAAGCACCCTGAAGGCGCCACGAGGAAAAGTCCAGCCCATCTGGTAGTAAATGCTGAGCCCAGACTACAACTGACCAAGCCTGTTCCTGTGAAGTCAGACTGTCCCCGAGGAGCGGTCTCTGGGGACACTGCTCTTCGGGACGGACACAGTATTCAACGAAAACTGGCATTTGTTTTTAGGAATAGGTTTCGAGGTTTTTAAATAGTTTTGGTGTCAGACACCTATATTAGTGAGCAGTCTATACTGGCCCGTAAATCAGGCAACGAAAATAAATTAGGTTGCAAGCAAGAAAAATCTGCTCAATGGAAATCCCAGCCCTTGTAGAGGACCGCTTCTGAGGCTCTCCCAGGGGCCCATATTCTGCGTACACGTGAGAGCTTTGGAGGGGACTGAGACCCAGACAGCTGTTCTCTGGGCGACAGCTACCAAAGGCCCATTGTCCCTAGAGGCAATCTTCCTCCCTAAGGCGGCGGGGGCGGGGGGCAGTAAAATGCCCCAGGGCTTATCTGGGTTGCAGCAGAAATACTTCATATCTAACGGACTGAGCCACAGGGTGCTATCCGGGGACGGGTATCTAGGCCAACCCTCTTATTTGTCCATGACAGGGGCGACACCTTCCTAAACAGATACACAAGCTTAAAACAAGTCTAGAAATAGAGATCACAAGGCCCCCACCACCCCTTGCTCACAGCCTTGCAGCCTGGAGGCCCCCCCCACCCCTTGCTCACAGCCTTGCAGCCTGGAGAATGTCACCCTTTACCTGCCTTACTTAGGTGATCACCAGGCATACCGCCCGCCCGCCTGCAAGCACGTGGCATCTTCTCAAGGGCACGACGGGCACACTCTGTGCACCTGGGCGTCACTAACGCCAGCTCCGAGGCTGCAGAGAACGATGCAGGCAGGCAGTCCACTCCCCAACATCCCTAGCAGAGAAGATGCCCTTTGCCCCTGGCTCCGCCTCCACAAACACGACCCCAAACTGCTGCTGTGACCTCGGGGTATGGGGTGTGGGGCAGGAGCCCTACCTTTGAACACAAACTCCGTGCCGCCCATGACCCTGGCGGAGTGCACGCCGCGGCTGTAGCGACCCTTGGCATAGATGGTGAAGGTGGGATGCTTGCACACGGGGTCGGAGTAGTGGTAGTAGTGCCCCTCCCAGGTGTGGTTGTTGTCGTGGAAGATGAAGTGGCGCGTGAGGAAGAGGACCTCGGGCCGCACCTCGCAGCGCTGGCTCACCCACTCGCCGTGCAGGCCCACCGTCAGGTCCGCCTTGGGGGGCAGCAGGGGCGGCCGGTGCTCATCCGACCGGTGGATGATGCGGCAGGCAATGCAGGCGTGGTCGTGGTTCTGGAGCCAAAACACAAACACGTGGAGGGGGGGGGAGAAGTCTCCATGAGAGCAGTGCGCATGCGCTGCGTTCGACGGGGCTCACGGCAGAGGCACCGGCAGCCCCTGAGGCACCGCCACCATTAACCTGGGTACCCCAGGGGCAACTGGAGCCACAGACCGGGTGTGTGTGCCTGCGTGTGCTCACAAGTACATAAGTGTGTTTGGCTAACAGTAGAGCCTTGCCTAAATATTTCAGCTGTGACCTGGACCCCCTTTAGAATCCTGTTACATTTTCAGACCATTTGTCCCAGACACTTGATTTCAAAAAGAAAGGCTGGCATCACCTCACCCCAATTAGGATGGCTACTATCAGAACGAGCAAAAAATGACAGCATTGGCGGGGCCGTGGAGAAACTGGAACTCTCGTGCACTGCTGGTAGGAACGTAAAGGGGTGCAGCTACGTAAAGGTGGTAAACGTAAAGGTGGTAAAGGATCACCTCAGGACCCAGCAACCCCACTTCTGGTTTATACCCCAAAGAACTGAAATCAGGGTCTCAAAGAGGTATTTGTTCACCCACGTTCACAGCAGCACGATTTGCAATAACCTAAAAACGGAAACAACACAATGTACATCAATGGCTGAATGGATCATCAAAACGTGGTCTAGACACAAAATGGACTATGATTCAGCCTTACAAAAGGACGGGAATCCTGACACACACATGTTGTTACAAGGATGAACCGTGAGGGCATCATTCTGACTGAAATAAGCCGGTCACAGAAGGACAAATTCTGTGCAATCCCACTTATAGGAGGGACCTCAAGTCATCAAATCCATGGAGACAGAAAGCAGAATAGAGTTACCAGGGGCTGGGGTGGGGAGTTCGTGGCCAGATGGAGATGAAGATCGTATGACACCCCCCATCGTAGCCCTTGACAACCACCGTCCTACTTTCTGTGTCTATGGATCTGACTACTAGAGGGCCCACATATAAGTGGGATCATACAGTATTTGTCCTTCTTGTAACTGGCTTATTTCTCTTAACATAATGTCTTCAAGGTTCATCCATGTTGTAGCATGTGTCAGAATTTCCCTCCTTTTTAAGGCTGAATAGTTTTCCACTGTATGGATGGACCACATTTCGTTTATGTATTCATCTGTCAATGGACACCTGGGTTGCTTTCACTTTTTGGCTATTGTGAATAATGCTGCCGTGAACATGGGTGTCCAATCTATTTGAGAACATGCTTTCAATTCTTTTGGGTATATACCTAGAAGTGGAATTGCTAGATTATATGGTGATTCTATGTTCAATATTTTTTGAGAACCTGCCATATTGTACAGCAGCTGTACATTCTCACCAGCAAAGCACGACGGTTCCAATTTCTCTACACCCTCACCAGCAGTTGTTATTTTCTTTCTTTTTTTTTTTTTGATAACAGCCATCCTAATAAGTGTGATGTGCTACCTCACTGAAGTTTTGACTTGCACTTCCCTCATGATTAGAAATGCTGAGCATCTTTTCATGTGCTTATGGCCTATTTGTACATCTTCTTTGGAGAAATGTCTATTCAAGTCCTTTGCCCATCTTTTAATCGGGTTGCTTTTTGCTGTTGTTGAGTTGACTAGTTACCGTTTTAACCAACTCTTTGGCTGGCATTAAGGAACCAAAGATGTCATAAATCAGTGTGGGAGGTTTGGCCTCTCTGTGGATGCTGTCAACAAGGGGACAGTTTCAGCCAACGTTGGATAAAGGGAACACCTTTCTGTTTTGTGGACAGATTTTTTAAAAATCTGATTTGTGCTCTTAATTACCACTCTCTTTGGCTTGAATAAAACCCCAAAGACCTACAGGAACAACCATGGAGAAGCAGAAATTAAGGCCTAGATATCACACTGGCTCTAAAGTTTCTCTTTTCCAAGATGCTTTTCTCAAACAGCGGCCATTCACAATGACGAAAGGGGAAGAGTTTTTCAACATGAAGAGTGATTTGTACCATGAAATCTCATTTGCTTCATGAAGTTACTCTGTTTGGTCCATGCTCTGATCCATAGGTCTCATCTGAGAAGCCGTCTTTCCCAGGCTCTCCCGTTAGGCTTCACATCGCTCCCTCCCTTGCATCTCAGATAGGCTATTTTAACGTCAGTGTTCCTGTGCACAAGAAGCTGAGGGCTAGAGCCGAGGGACCAGAACGTGTTCCTTGCTGCTATTCTTTACACCAACTATAAAAAGCTTTCATTCCTGGGTGGGAGTGGGGAATCCCTATACCATTATTAATCTCTTAAGAAAGAAATCAAGCTTATTCTAAAACATCACATTTTATCAGTGAGCAATGTCCTAGGCAGAGGGGGGTTTTCCCACTGTGTTTCCTGATCCTGGCCCGGCCCTGGGAACAGTTAAATAACACAGTTTGCATGTACAGGGCATTTGATGCTGGGGAAGTTCAAGTACATCATCTCCTTACGCTTCTCAGTCTCCCAAAGAGACCACAGTACACGTCACAGATGAGGCCACAAAAGCACAGAGAGAGAGAGAATGACATGGCTCGGAGGGATCTGGGACAGAACTCGGCTGTGGGGATTGCAGAGTGCTCCCTTCCGGCCCCAGGCTGCCCCTTAGGCTGGGGTCTGCAAGGAACACACGTCTCCCTACCAAGGGCTCTGGTCCCTTGAAAAGGTCCTCTCTGGCCGATGACTGACACGGTTCTCTAGGCTTTGCCCTGTTCCCTGCCAACATTTATTTCTGGAGAGCTGGTTCGTCAGCATTTGCTGACAGATCCACTTGTTTCCCAGCATCTTCCCAGAATGGAAAAAGTTACTTGACATGATCTTGTCGTGAATAAGTCAACTAGAGAAGCAGCCTGCATAAGACATTTCTTGGGCTAAATGTTTTGTCTGAGGAGGAGAAATGGGGATAGATGATGAAATGCCCCTTCCTAGAGTTCTGCTCCCCCGGGTCACGTTTCTCAGGAAGAAACCTCCACGGATGGCCAAGGATGATGCTGAAAGCTGTCTTCCCAAGTACCATTCACCACGTGTGTGACTGAACTGCAGGCGCCCTATGGTAGGTCCTTCTACACGGACATCCTTCCCAGCTCCTCTCCGTGACGTGGTAGGTATTTGAGGCCAAGACCAGCGCCCTCCCGTTTTCCTACGTCCCATGACACCTAGGAGAACACAGTAGGTGTGATACAGGTTCATGGCTCACAGGCTGATGGATGGTTAGAAAGTTGTCCTCGGAAACGTAACAAGATGAACAGAGCAGCCAGCATTCATCACAACCGTGAGTGCTGCCCACCTTGTGGGAGGGGCCTCTTGGGGTGCCTTTCAGAGCTGGGATCCTGGGATGTTGTGGACTCGGGCTCATTCTGACCTTCCAAAGGAGCAGTGATGATTCCCCTTTCAGAAGAAAGTAGGGGAAATGGCCGTGGCCACACAGGTTGGGTCTCTGTAACTGTAGCCTTGGGGCCACACCCGGAGGCTGGCAGTGTGTCTGGCCAGGCCGACGACAGGAGCAGGTGGCAGGCGTTGAGGACAAAAGGACTTAGCCTCACAAGGACTCTGCACAGCAACCCTGTAGATGTGATGCAACCACCACAGACGGGCCCGGGCTGGAAGGACGATGGAAAAGGGTAAGAGAGGCACGGCCGGTTCCTCGGGGCCGGCGTTTGGCTGCCAGTTCTTCTGCGAGCGGAACCGACAGAACACCGCTTCCTGGAGGGAAAAAGGAGCATCGGTGGGTGCCCGGGAGCAGCACTGCATTTTCTAGAAATGGGATTTCCATGAAGTTTAGATTCTGAGACGTGAGCTCCCAAAGGCCTTTCCTGTAAATCACATAAAAGCTAATTTCAGCTCCACCTTGCCTGTACATACACACTTTGCACAGAGCCCAGAGCTCGATAAAAAGACCATAAGAAGGTGGTTCTTCAATACAAATGACTATAAGAATGGTTTCAGAAGAAAATGCTGATTAAGTTTTACTTGTTTGTTTCTTCCCCTCCTATTAATTTAAACGTATTTAAAGAGTTGAAGGAGACTCATCTTCATAATCACACTGGCTGTAAAGGCAGCAGACCCCACGTTTGGCCCCCTTCTCCCCTGCCCTCTGCCCACAGTGGCCAATGCCCCGCACACAGGACTTGACTCAGACTCTCCAATGGTCGATTTCCTGCCGCCCAGGTGTTCACGCTGTCCTCTCAGCTTCTGGACTTTTAAGGGATGAAATGTTTACCACTTGCATTGTCCCTGACAATGACTTCCTGGTCTGCTGACTCCTTAAATAAAAATCTTGCACTCAGGAATCAAGAAAAATAATGAACTGTTTCTGCACTCACAGCAGAGGCCAGTAACTGTGCAGTGTGGCAATTGTGTGACTCTTCATATTTCGACCCAAATAAAATGTCCACGTGAGTAAGCCTTTCGGAGGCCAGAACCCATCATCCCACCCCCATCGCCGGCTCTTTTTTCATCCTGTGGGCAGCACGTGCGGCCTGGCAGTGAACGCCCGGCCCTGGGGGCAGGGTCACGGTTTTCTGTAAGGGGCATACTGATTGAACATAAGGTGGGCTTCTGACACTGTCTCGGTCATGACTCCTTGAAGGCCCTGGTCCTCTACCACCTCTTCTGACTACCGTCACCTCCGCAAAACCCTCTTCTCTTTGCCCTGAGCTGACAGAAAGAGCAGGGACAGTGATTCCTCCATGAGCTTCTGGATCCTTCTACTCGTGCACCTGTGACACCCACTTACCCACCCCGCTGGAAGCCACACCAGCCACATGCCTAAGGAGAGACCCCTTCCTGCTGCAGAGCTGCCTCCTGGAGCTGGGCGGAAACTCCGATGTCCACAGCCACGTGGTCCAAAGTCCCTCGGATGTCGCAGATGTCACCATAAATCTGTATTTCTCACATGCTCTGAGGAGGTTTGGAAAGACAAGCTCCCTCAAAAACAAATGACTGTTCACAGTCTAGAGGCCTGCAGGGAACTTAGGAGAGAAAGCACACGAGTACCCCTGCTTCCTCCCAGCGGTCCGGCACCCCCAAAACACTCTGCTGTGTTTCCGCCTCTGACGGGCAGCCCTACTCTCAGCGTTCCAGGCAGGCTATCTCAGAAACGTGGCTTGGGGAGAGTGGCCTGGTTTGCAGGCAAGCCCTTTGATTTACAGCCCTGTGGCCTCACCAGTGCAGGGTTTTGGAAAAAGACCAATTCTGCTTGCTTGCAAGTATGATCCTGAGGCCCTGGCATTTCCAATGACCCCAGCAATCATTTGCTCTTAATTACTTTTGATTCTGCCAAGGAAAGAGGGCACCTGGCTAACCCTCCACCGCACAGGAATCCAGGCAGAGGGTAAGGGCTGCCCTGATGCTAAACTCGATTCGAGCAAAGCATTTTCTTTCAGGGTCATTCTAGGGGGTCCTGTTTTTTTTAATGAAGAGTAGCCAACTTCATCCTGAAAGAATCCTCCCAGCTCGCCTGATTCTCTTCAAACATCATTTTTTTTTGCCGAAGGGCTCTGAACCTCACAGCAAAGCTGTATAAAGCTTAGAAAATCAAGTTGATTTAAAATCTCTATTTTTACATGGTGTCCCGTTTCCAGAGGGGCTGAGACTAGTGGTTTTAAACTCAATTTAGCATTTAAACTAATTTTCAGCCAGGTCTCTATGGACCGGCGATTAGGGAAGGTGAAGGGTTCAGAGGGGGGTGGCGAGGCCTGTGGTCTGTCCGGATGCGCCCCCAGCCCTCCTCCTTCCCGGGGGGTGGGTGGTCTGCAGGAGCCCAGCGGGCAGGCAGCACCTGGGGCTTTGGAAAGGCACCAGTGGCCAAGTCCACTGATCCCTTCTCCTAGCCGGCCTGGGGAGGGATCTCAAAACTTCCTGACTGCTTGCTCACTGCAGGCCAGGATGCACACACCAGGGACAACAGGAGAAGAACGGGTCCTTTCAGCTCCCAGAGCCACGCGGACCTGGGCCGGCTTTCGGGGGAGAGCACAGGCCAGGTCCTGGACGCCGGCCTGCGTCCGCCCAGCCGCTTCACTGGCTTCATCTGTGGCCACAGCGTTCCTCTGAGCCTCAGAATCCTGCCTTTTTGGAATCTGTTTTGAGCGTGGTGATGGAGTTTGGGTAGTATAAGATCACAGCACAAATCACAGCAGGTACAGAAACATTCACGGTGACAAGTATCTTTCCCCCGGCCACACTGTCCTCCTCCTCTGAGGCCATCGCTGTTCCACTGCAGAAACACTGGCTCCTGGATCAGCTTACCTTCTTCTTCTATTACTAGCTTTACACATGGTATCACACCGTTCATGCTATTCTGTACCTTCCTTTAAAAAAAAAAAGCTTAACAGTGTGTCCTGGATAATCTCCAAGATCCAAGGTTCTTTCCACCCTTAATATTTCTTGAATGAGGGATTGTGGCCTAGGGTTTAAAGAGTTTACTTCTTAAGAATCTGGGGAGACAGTCCCACAACTGCCCCTGCAGAGGAGGGAAGGGAAAATGGGAGTGAGAGGAGTGGCAGAGACGGAGGTAAGACAAGAAAGGTGGTTGTGGGTACTCCTTTCTTTTCCAGGCCTAAGGAGAGCTCAAGAGATCAAAGAGCCCACGTGGGCATCCGCAGGTGAGGAAACGGAGTCTGGACCCGACAACGTGCACCAACAGCCCAAGGTCAGGTTCAGAGTGGAAGCCAGTTGGTCCAGGCTGTCTGCTGCTTCCTCTGGGCAGGGGGCCTCCATCCAGCCTCCTCTCTCCTTCCTGGGCCCTGGCCACCCTACTCACCAGCATCCTCACTGGAAGGTGAGCAGGGATGAAGGCTCTGCTCCTGGGAGGATCCTCCCACAGGCTCAGGCCAGGCTGGGTCAGGGCTCTGGCTCCCAGGGGGTTTCTGGATGAGCTGCAGACCGTTTTCACTCAGGACACCTTTACTCCCGGAGATAATGTGAATGTTGGCTCGACTGTGCTCATAGAAAGCCAGATGCGTGTCTGAAAATCCCGTTCCCGCTGCCACCTGACACCAGGAGTTTGGAGAGAAGCGTCGTTAAGCTGCAGCGTCTGGATAAGGCGGCCACCTGCAAAGGTCCCTCGACGGTTCCTCTGTTTCCCAGAAGCCGGGCCCTCGCCCTGGTGGTCCCTAGGCAGAGTCCCATCTTGGTGCCTCTGCATCGGCTGTGAAGCAGGCAGAGCCCACTGCCCGCCCTCTCCCTGCGAGGATGCCTGGGGTCCCCGGGGCAGGAGGGCCGCCCTCTCCCTCGCAGCCCCGCCTCACCTGGCGCCTCTAGAACGCGCAGGGCACAGCACAGCGGACCTGGCCTGGGTCTGCGCGGAGCCCAGCGTTCCCTCGGCACGGCACGGGGAGGGGATGTCCTTGAGATGCGCATCCAGAGGAAGCCTCCCTGCCCACTCGGCCTCCTGGCAGACGCCCCACAGTCATCATAAAGGCAACTTTCACGACACAAGCTCACGGTAACAGACAGAAAGAAGACAACCGAGTGGTCTGGCGGGGGCAGTACCAGCAGTACCCTCACCAGGCATGAGCACGCTCCAAGGACTGAGAAGAAAACAGATGCTTTAAAAACAAATAAACCACCAAACAAAAGTTGGACAAGCCCTGCAACTGGAGAGTTGCTGTTCTAGAAAGGATTCCAGAAAAGCCGGTCTGATGGTGGGCGACACTGGGGAGAAAGCCGCTGCCCCCCCAGGCCCTCTTCCTGCCTCCCCAGCTTCTGCGGTGGTAATGACCCTGTTACGTGCAGACACGGACTCCGAGCCCGTGGGAAGGAAATGCCTGGAGAATTCCAAGTGTAATTACAGGGACTATCATTTAAAAAAAGAACATTAGAAGGTTTTAATTGTTTCCTGCCCCCTCCATCCTCCCCTCGGGTCACAGTGATTTCTCACTTAGTCCAATGGGAAGAGTGTGGGATTTGGGGAAATAGTCCAGTGGGGTCTGGGGAAAGGTTTGGGTGCAAGTTCCAGCCCTGAAACTCACCAACCGGTGACCTTGGGCAGGAGACCAACCCTCGCATCTCAGCTGCCCCCTCTTCTGCTAAGAGGTGGTCGTCACTGCCTCACAGGGTCGTTGTGGAGACGGAACAGGAGGTTCTAAGGGTCCACAGCCCCAGGCCAGCAGCACTGTCCCTGCCCCCGGCCCCAGGGCCAGGATCCCTGCTGGGCATCTTCCCAGGTAGGTTAGAACATCTCCACGTTTCCTGCAAGCTTTCCTCTTAGACTCACAGAAGTTCCCAGAGGGTCAGGGCAGAAGGGAGCCTTAGGAATTTTCGAGGACGACCACCAAGGCTGTTCTGCATCACCAGTCCTAGGACCACCACCCTCATCAAATAGGAAAACCGAGGCCCCATCACAGAGCAAGGCGGTGGCCCACCAGGGCCTCCTGACTGGGCTACGTGTCCCCCCACCCAACCTGCAGCCCTCCCGCCCCCATCCCCCCCAGCAGCCCCTCCATGATGCAGAGCCCCGCCCCACCAGGGGCTATGCAGGGTGGTGAGGGGTACCTTGGCATTCTGCAGCGGGGGCTGGTAGCTGGACGGCCTGTAGAACATCCTCTGGGAGGCGTCAGTGTGGATGTCACCCAGGAAGAGCTCCTCCACCAGGCGGTCCAGGTTGTGCTGCAGGTACTGCTTCTCCACGCGGACCAGCTGCAGCTCGTGCATGGCAAAGTTCACGGCCCGGGTGCACTCGCGGCCGCCCTCCTCCCGCCACAGGTCATAGGGCACGTCCTGCACCCAGGGACCCCCGGCGGGCATGAAGCCAGGGCATGTGCGGTTGACCAGCTGGCCGAGCCGCTCCGCCACGGCCTCTGAGTGGCACACGACCTGCACGCGGTGCAGCTGGTAGTCAGCCTCGGTGCCGCCGCGGATGATCCAGGAGGCCTGGCGCAGGCGGATCTTGCCGCGGACCACCAGTGTGTAGGTGGGGCTGGTGCAGCGGTTGCCGCCGTAGTAGAACTGGTAGGCCTTGAACGTGTTGTTGTGGTAGAACCGGTAGGACCTGGTGATGAACTCGGGGCCCGACCGCACCTCACAGCTGCAGAAAAGGGGGAGGAAGACGCCTGTGAGCCCAAAGTCATGAGGCGGAGGCTCATCACAGTGCCAGGAGATCACGGTAATGATAACAGGATGGTACTCCGGGCAGTTCATGGAACCCGCACAGCAACCTATGAGCTGGGGGATGGGGGGTATTATTATTATTATTATTTACATCCCAAGGATCATTTTATTCTTTATTTTTTTTGTTGTTGAAGTATAGTTGATTTGCAATGTTTCAGGTATATAGCAGAGTGATTCAGTTTTGTTCTTTTTCAGATTCTTTTCCATTATAGGTTATTACAAGATGAGTATAGTTCCCTGTGCTATAAGGGTGGGTATTATTACTGTCCTGTTTTACAGATAGGGAAACTGAGGCACAAGAGCTGAGGCAATGTGTCCAAGGTCCCCTCACCAGCCAGCACTGGAGCCAGATGTGAGCCCAGGGGAGCCTGGCCCAGCACCTGTGCTCCCGGTCACTCTACACCGGGGTTGTCCTCCTTTCACTTTATGGACAAGACAGAAGGGCAGGAACCTGCCGTCCTCAGCGCCCCCCTTGGCCTCACTCCCAGGCGGGAAGGAGGAAGGAGGGTGCGGGGCTGGCCTAGGAAAGATGCTCCCTGTGTTGTCAGAGATGTTGATTTCCTGACCACTTCCATCATCTGGACCGTGTCCACAGCAGCCAGGTGCCAGGTGTCTGTTGTCCTGGAATGGAATCTAGTCTCAGGGAGGCACCCCTTAGAGGCCACTGGAGATTCATCTCTTACCCGGTCCAGTCAAAATTAGTTTTCCCTCTAGCAGAAAATAAAGAGGCAGGTAGGGCTCCTTCGGTTGTGCTGCCGACAGTGGCAGAATGTTTTTTATTTTTTAATATTAATATCTTTTTAAAATATTATTTATTTATTTATTTTTGGTTGCACTGGGTATTCGTTGTTGCACGCGGGCTTTCTCTAGTTGTGGCGAGCGGGGGCTACTCTTTGTTGCGGTGCGCGGGCTTCTCATTGCAGTGGCTTCTCTTGTTGCGGAGCACGGGCTCTAGGAGTGCAGGCTTCAGTAGTTGTGGCACGTGGGCTCAGCAGTTGTGGCTTGTGGGCTCTAGAGTTCAGGCTCAGTAGTTGTGGCGCATGGGCTTAGTTGCTCCGCGGCATGTGGGATCTTCCCGGACCAGGGATCGAACCTGTATTCCCTGCATTGGCAGGCAGATTCTTAACCACTGTGCCACCAGGGAAGTCTGCAAAATGTTTTCTGCTGTGGCATCAGGTAAAGGCTGGATGCCTAGGCCAGAAACACCTGGATGGGACCTTCCTCATCTGGTCTAACTGTAATCAATTTTTACAACTGCAGCGCGGCCCACACCAGAAATGAGGGGGTTTCCCTCCTTGCATTGGGCAGAGAGTCTGTCCACTCATCACCTGTAATCAGATCCTAGTCTCAGTGACATTGAGACTTCAGGCTTATCAGTCTTGGCCGTATAACCCTGCTTGCGTCTATTATTTATATATAAACTTATTAGATACAGTAGTTCTGGTTTGAGCTGAGTGGCGAGATCAAGCGGTGGGACTGAAATCCCAAAGGCCAGTGGTTCTCAAAGCTACTATTAGTTTACAAACTGATGAATGGGCCGCTTAGAAGTGGGGACCATTAGCTTAGCAAAGACTGTGACCTGCCGCAGGTACCGCCAGACAGCAGCCAGTGGTGCCCTGAGCATCCGTCTCTGTGACAGGAGGGAGAGGAAGCCCATGTTCCTTCCCAGGGACAGAGGAGTCCTTCCGTGTGAGCAGCGATTCATGTCTGTTGTAGTTCAGACAGGAGGATCGCCGACTTCTAACACTTCATCTCAGCTTGAGAATCTGTTGATTTGGTCCCAAGCTCAAGCCCACTCACTTCTCCAACGCCCCACCCCCGACGCCCCTCACCCAGGCCTTGGTCATCTCCAGCTGGGACTGTTGAGTCTTTTAATTGGTCATCCCCAAGTTGAAACAATTTGGGACCTGGGACCCTTTTGCTGCAGTGCTTGTACCTGGACACAAGTCTCCTGGGGCAACAAAATACAAAGAAACTATAAGAGACTAAAAATAACTGCGCACATGCTCACTTGGGGCAAATTATGGATAACAAGATACAAAAAGACCAAAAAGCCAACTGCCACTTCTGAAGAGTCAGGAGCAAAGCAGGGTACTGCACCTGCCCCCTGCACTCAACATAACCAAGGGGTGGGCAGACCGCCTGAGCCACGCCTCCGGCCCCACCCCTGGACCTGCCCCTACCCTCACCCCATACAAGGAACCAGCTCGCCCTTCCTTGGGAAGCAAGCAAGGGAACCTGTTGTTTGTTCTTGCTCCCCCTTGCTGCACCAGGGGCCCCAATAAAGCCTGGCCTGAATTTCTTGTCTGGCTACTTATCAATTTCTATGGATTAAGGAGGCCAAGAACCCTGGTTGTCCCCAAGTCACTCTTCCCACCACCCACTTGCAGCCAGAGTGCCCTTCAGTCATGCTGAATCAGGTTTGAGCACAGCACTTGCTGAAATCTCTTCAATGACATCCCAGTTCTCTTAGATTAAAAGCCAAACTCGAAGAGACAAGGCGTGCAGGGGGCCCTGGGGGCTGGCCCCGCCTCCTCCTTGACCTGCCTGGGGCTGTTCCCCACCCCCAGAACAAGGGCTCCTGTGCTTCTCCGGTCCAGCCTCTGCTAGTCCTCCCACAGGGAAAGCTCTTCCCTCGTCTTGCACAGTCAAGGACATCTCAGCTCAAGTGTCCTCTTCTTGGTAGCCCTTCCTACCCCACCCTGTCCTAAAATAGGGGCCCTGGTATTCTCCTTGAGCACCTGTTGTTTCTTCCCTCTTCGTAACATTTCTTTGTGTATTTGTAAAATCCCCGAAGACAGGGGCCATGTCTGTTTGGTTCGCTGCTATACACACAAAATCTAGAACAGTGCTCACGTGCGGTAAATATTTGTGAGCTCCAGAAATATTTGTTGAACAAAATGATAAATTATTTAAAAGTACGTCGCGTTAAGATTGTTTGTGCCAATACTGACCATGCGGTTATTTTGAGAAACCCCATTTTTAGGAAAAAACCAAAAACCAAAAACCGCTAGGTCTTCCTTGTAAGATTTCTTTTTTCTCTTCTCTGGATGCCTGTGATCCCTCCCCAAGGTACCTGGAGGAGTGGTCTGCACAGAAGTGATCAGATCCCACCGTTAGCCTTGTGAATTTGCAACAATTTAATGCGCAGGGAAGAGATTGCAGGTCTGCCTCTGGGCTATTTTTAAAAGCTCTAATGGAAGATAAGCAAGAGCTCAAACTGGGATAAATCTCAGCTCCACAGCCTGGAAAAGAAGCCAAGAGCTGCACCCTGGCTGGTTGAGGTAGCATGGGTACCTTTTAACTTACTCTCAGACCCTGAAGCTGTATATTAAATTACCAGAATATGGCTAGAATATTTAGACCATCAGAAGCTTGCAAGTCGCGTTTCAGGGTTGGTGAAACACAGACTCCTAATTTCACTTGCTAATGGTTTCTTTTCATACAGGAGTGGTCCTACGGGGTTCAATAAACAAGGACATATTCAATCCCATGTGGGATACAGTGGTACCATATCACCGCTGCTGAGGCTAAGATTTCAACAGGACTGAGCTCTGTTTCTTCACCAACCCGAGTTTCAAAGCGTCGCTTGGCTGTGAGTTAGAACTCAGACAACCCCAGAATCACTGTAAATTCTAGAAAGTCTCTGTGCACCTGAGAAACCCTAAGAAGGCTCTGCATAGCAGTGCGCTCTCCAGGACCTCCCGGGACCCCCGCCCCAGCCTCTTACCCGGTAGACACCCAGTGGCCCTCGATGGCAGGCGGCATCTGCACAGTGATCCTGGCACCATTGTGGAGATGTTTGAGCATGTGGTGACACTGGGATTCCTTGAAAGCCCTCCAGGCACTTTTCTCCAAGGACCTGGGGTGGGACCTGCTGTCCGGATGAAGGAGGGCAGAGCCCTCTCCCAGCCCTGAAACATATACATGCAAGGCAGGTGTCAGGGGAGCTGCAGAGACGTGAGGCCAGCTGAGGAGCTGTCCCCGAGGCGGGGACATCCCACAGGTGGGAAATGCCAGGCTTTATCACTGTCTTTGCTCTCCTAGAATTCACATTCTACAGTGTCCCAGGAGATCCTCTCCCAGGTGAGAAAACTGGGGTCTGTGGAGATAACGAATGTGATTTGCATGAGGTCGCTTGGCGAGCTCCTGGCAAAGCCTGAGCTCAAACCCAGGTCCATGAAACTGCAAACAAGGCCGTGCATACCACGAGCAGCTGTGCAGGGCTGCAGGGGACAGAACTGTGTGCTCCAGAGTCATCAAGGCTGGAGATGGGGCTGAGGGGACAGGTAGAAAAGGTAGTCAGGAAGGGTGGTCAGGTGCAGTGACACAGACAGGAAGGCAGAGAGCCAGCAGCTTCAGTGAAGGGTGAACGGAGACGGGGAGAAAGGCCCAGGGAACAGCTAGGAGGCGCCCCACAGTGGGGACTCCCTTCTGCCCGCACCACCTCATGCCCCTCGGGGTCTCTCAATCCCCAAACGGACGCCCTCTAGAGGGGGTGCAAGTCCTACGCCCGCCCTATAAGGGCTCAGGTGTGGCATTTCCCCCAGTGATCTTCCAAGGCTGCCCCTCAGAGTTGGTGACAAACAAACATATGTTACAGGGCTTTGATTGCACATCTGTATTTTCCACGGGTAAAGGGACACTAGGACTAAGTTTATCTTCACGTCGTCCAGGTTGGCCAAAATTTACACGTGCAAAAGTACCACCAGCCTCGTGTGCAGAAAAAGGCAAGGAAAACAGATGGAGTTATCATCTGAAAGCCCACTGTTTCCTCTGAGATTCACTCCTGAAGTGACTCACAATCTGAGAGGTCTTTATTGTGGACCTACTAGGAATTCAGCACTATGTTAGCAAAAAAAAAAAAACGACACTAGTTAGACAAACGTACAACAATAAAAGATGGATGTTAATGAAACTGTGGTAATCGTTTTGCAATGAATGTTAAATGCAACCTCACCAGCAACCCCATTCAGCCAAACCAGGTGAGTCACACCTGAGCTAGAACAAGGGCGACACTAAAACTCAGAAATCTGTGTCAGGTGGAGTAGACATTAATGCTCAGGGCTGTTAAGCGAGGACCCCCTCCGTGGCCTCGAGCTCCCATCCCAGGGAAGGCAGTTGCACTGAAACAGTGGTCCTGGGTGCTCCGTCCCTGACCCTCCCCAGAGAGAAGAAGGAAACAAGCCTGCTAACTGGGCTATTTTTCTCTGTTTCTTTGCAAAACCAGCCTGTTTTCAAAATACATAAAATACATGCATTTTGATCAGCCCCCTCCCACCCCCTTCAGTGGTTGGGCTGTGGCACTGAGCCAGGTGGAAAGTCTGGAAAATGCAGCGGTGACCTGTTGGCAATCCTACATGGACATCCACCTGTACTGTGACTTCTGATGGGGTATTTATCCCAATTCCAGCATTTTAATCCCCATTGGTCTGGCACTCGTGCTGATCTCTCTCAGTTAGCTTTAAACTAGAGGACGGGGGGATACCTCCACCAACCCCAAGATTTGTGGTCATCTTGTTGATAGGAAGCACTTCCTGAATTCCCTGTCAGGAATGAAATCAAACAGTACAACTTGCCATTTGGTGGGCCAACTGGATGATAAATTGTAACGTGGCAAAAATACATATCTTAACTCGTCACAAAGCACTGGGAGTTGCGGAAGAGTCTTCTTTAAATATGACACCCAGCATTCAGTAAAGAGGTCATGCTCTCACGATCAACCAAGCTATGTACTAAAAATTGATTTATAAACCCCTTTACACCCCGCAAATGTTTTCCCGTAAAGCTAAGGAGAGCCGGGAGGGGAGCGGATATCGGTGAAATTCTGGAGCTGGGCTGCTTGGGTTTGAAACTAGATCAGCCACTTAAAGGATTTCATCAAATCCAAGATTTCAGTGATTAAGATGCATCATTATTTTATTACCAGCGACAAAAACACTTGCATTTAAACGATGACACCTGCCTTAGCAGCAGTCCCAACACCCCTGGAGCACGCACAGGGCCTCCAACTGCTTTATCTCTCCAAAGAGAACTGGCACCGTGTCTGGCCTTCGGCTGCAACACTTCACTCAGGACAGGTAGTCGGTTTGCTCTGCACGAATCTTGACAACAAGGCTCAAACACAGCCTTATCTTTTTGTGGCATCTTTCTTTCCAAATAACTGTTTCTCGGTGAGAAAATATGTAAGTGCAGTTACTACCCCCCTCACCATGATAAATACTCGCCCCACTGATGTTACACGGACACCCCTGGCTCTGTTACTGGGCTGCCTGATTTCCACACTGTTTTTCTTTTCAGCGCTGAGAGTGGAGTTTACAAGTGAATTCTAACACTTGGCTGCAGTGTTTACTCTATTTTCAAAACCAACCTATTGGCAACTAAACCATAGATGGAGAGTAACAAGGACACACACAGAGGAAGTGACATGAGGACAGTATGGGTCCAGGTTCACACAGGCGATGACAGGTCTGCCGCATGACTGCCACCTGCAGGCTCACAGGGGCCAGAGGCCCCACCCACCGGAGATGCACACCCACTGCCCAGACCTTATACATGAAAAACTGTAAATCCTACAATCGATGAAACACACGATCAGCACTGTGACCATCAACAAGTCACTTAACTCCCCCAAGCCTTAGTGCGCTCATCTGTACGGAGGGGGTGACAGCACTGCCGTCACTTGGAGTTGGTCTCAGGATTCACTGAGATCATTTCCTTTAGCACATGGTTCACGGTTCTTGGGAGACGTTAGTTACTATTACTTTAAATGATGAGTAAGGCTCTTGGAGGTCCTGAGGAAGGCCTTCCTAACTAACAGAATGGCTAGAATAATGGTAAGAGTCTCCTGGAGCCCAGCTCACTCTGCGCTCTGGAGGGACAGTGTGCACAGAGCGAGGCCCGGGCTCCTGGCAGCCAACTAAGTGGTGACCCGAATGGAGACAGGGGTGGTGACAAGCTCTACTCGGTTTAACAAATGACTACACGCTGCCACTCTGTGTAGCTTAGGGGCTGGAAGCATAAAGAAGATTGAAGATAAGTTTTTCTGACCCGGAGGCTCTTAGGGTCTCACTTGGACTGCACGTCCAAGGACAAGGGTGGGATGGTGGGGTCTGGGCAGGAGGTGGGCTCAGAGGCAAAGGAAGGGGCCGTGGTACTCACGACCTGCATGGTTGTGCAGGAGGCTGGAGCCAACAGTCAGTTTTTTAACCAGGGGGTGGGGAAGACATAAAAATCCCAGAACCACCCATTTGCACATCATTAGAAAGCAGGCAGAAGATTACGTCACTCAGGGTTTCCAGAGACCAAGCTCCGTCTTGCTACTGCTCCTGTCAGACAGGAGCCAACGTCAGGGACCTGGCAAGGCCGTCGGCCCAGGAGGCCAGCAGGATAGCCAGATGGAGGACTCAACAGCCAGCCCCTCCCCAGGACACAGTGGCTGAGGGTTCACTCGCGAGGGTGGGACTGAATTTTTAGGATGGGAAAATAGGGTTGGAATTTATTCTCTTTTTATCTTTTTCCTTTGAAATACCCACCACCTCAATGACCCTTAGGGAGCAAAATTAAAAGGGTCAAGTGACAGCAGGCGTTGCTGTCAGGCAAGAGAAGCCGTCTCTTAGGGTCAAGTATGGACGGGGGTCACCAATACTTATTGGCTCATTTGGTGTGGGACGTGGATTACACCCCACCCCCACCCCCATGTGAGGCCTCCTTCTAGTAAATGGCTGGGAATGAAAAGGCCACTTGAAGCACCTAGTTCAGCCACAGGGGAGGCCATGTGGAACGCTCTCACCTTACATCCCACGACTTCCTTCTCAGCATCAGCCATGGGTGCCCTCCAAGGAGACCAGCCTTAGACTTCTGGTCAACCCAGGGATCCCCATGTTCCTGCATCGCCAGAACGATGTCAGCTCCAAATCTGAGACTGAAACTAGCAACTCACTCATTCAAACAATCAGAAAGGACTCTCTGCAGGGCCAGGCACTGTGCAGGCACAGAAGCTACAAACATTATGCCCCAAGGAATCCTCAGTTGGGGAAGAAATCAGAATCCCAATGGACTTATAAAGGGACTCAGAAAGACGGAGGGAGCAGGCAGCTATGCCTTGAAGACTGAACAGAAGTGGTCCAGGCAGGGTTTATAGCACATGCCCAACATAAGGAGGGGGTGGGAGATTCGTGCAGGGAGGATGGAGAGGCCTTAGGGAGGGGAGATCGCAGGGTGGCCCAGGAGGGAACAGTGGCAAAACAGAGGCCAGGCTGTGATCAAGAGCTGTGAGTGCGTCATCCTGAGCATGGACTGGGCTGAAACAGGGAAGAGGAACCGCCCAGAGCCTGTAAGCAATGTAACGCAGGATGAGGACTCCATTTTGAAAAGACTGCTTTTCCCTCTTTTTGGAGGGCTAAGAAGCAGGAAGATCAATTATGAAGCTTCGGCCATGGTTCAGTGCATCATTTTTGCCTGAATAAATGAGAAAGATAAGAGAAGGGAACTGCTTTCAACAAAGCAGTGAATCTTTTTGGTGGTCCTGGAGAGGCACTGACCATCTTTGGCACGTTGTGGGAAAAGGTATTACCAAAAAGTTATTTGAAAAGAGAGGAAAGAAGGAAGGGAGGGAGGGAAAGACAGAGAGAGGAAAGTAAGGGTCTGTACTAATTTAGCACTATATCCGGGAAAAAACTTTTGCAAAATACTTATATGTCCACTTACATACATCTTCAATTGTATAAATAAACATCCAACTTAAGGGTGGTGACTAGCTGTAATAATAGTTCCTGCCTGAGTGTACTTATTAGTTATAATAATAAATGTGCTTATTATATATAATAACTTTAAAAACCTCCACTTGATTGGATTATCTGTATAATCAGAAGTGTTGACTAACCACAATATTTGGTTGTCGATAATTCTGCTA